GGTCGATCTCCTTTCTCTCCCCCCTCCCTCCCCCCTCACCCCTCCCCACCCTCCCCCCACCATCCTCTACGTACACACTCTCCGCGAGTTACGAGGTAATTGAGCGTCGCCAAGATCAAAGAGAGAGCCTTTAAATACCGCACGAGGGAATTCTCTCCGCAGGCGAAAGGGGATCTAACACCCTTTTGTGGGTCACGATCTCGGAATTTATCGCCGGCGTGTTGTCTCTTTTAACGCCCGGGAGAGTATACAGAACAAGTGAACCTCCCGTAGAGTACGTGGTAAACACCTCAATAAAGAAGATAAGACGTAAAGACGTAGAGAAACGAGTATTATCCGACAACTATCAGACAACTTCTCTTAGTTAGGGAGAAGTGTGTTAACTTCAGCCATCAAGAAGGAGGACGGAGTGACTGGCACGCTGGACGCTCGTAATACGTCACAGCTGTCAAGGGGACTGTCGTTCTCCCCACAAATGGCTGCTGATGGAAAAAGGCAGATGGAATAATGTCTCGTCTTCATGGCGGTTTCCGGGTTTGGTTCGTAATGCGAGAGAGGGAGCTGTACGCAACGGTGCTCTTGTTTAGGTGTTATGATGATAAGAGGTATTTAGGCATCACCTCTCTCACTGTCTCTGTCTCTGTCTGTTTGTCTGTCTGTCTGTCTGTCTCTTCTCTCTCTCTCTCTCTCTCTCTCTCTCTCTCTCTCTCTCTCTCTCTCTCTCTCTCTCTCTCTCTCTCTCTCTCTCTCTCCTCTCTAATATATATATATATATATATATATATTATATATATATATATATATATCTGTCTATCTATCTATCTATATCTCCATTCACACACACACACATACACACACACACACACACACACACACACACACACACACACACACATATATATATATATATATATATATATATATATTATATATATATATATATATATATATATATATATATATATATGTATATATGTATACACACACACACACACACACACACACACACACACACACACACACACACCACACACACACACACACACACACACACACACACACACACACACACACACACACACATATATATATATATATATATATATATATATATATATATATATATATGCATATATATATATATATATATATATATATATGTATATATATATATATATATATATATATATATATATATATATATATATATTATATATATACATGTTTAATTCATTTATTCATATGCATGTATAAAAGCACACACACACATATATACACTTATATACGTATTAATAAAGCCAGGTTCGCTCTCATTTTGAACGTTACCAAAATGTGTATTTTACTTTGTTTCGCAACATTTAGAATTAGAATACGGAATGAATTTCGCACAGAATTATTACTGCATTTGCACACCATTATATGATATTTACATTCAAGGAAGTATAGCGTGCGTTTCTAGGTATTAATATTTCATCTCTCGGTCTCCTTTATTTCAACTTTTCACACTTTGTTTCTCCTCCCCTTCTCTCATCTTTGTCTTTATTTTTTCTTGTGTCTCCTACTCCTTCAACAAACTTCCAACTACCTTACACTCTCTCATTCTCTCTGTCTTTCTCAGCATTTCAAACTCCTCTCTCTCTCTCTCTCTCTCTCTCTCTCTCTCTCTCTCTCTCTCTCTCTCTCTCTCTCTCTCTCTCTCTCTCTCTCTCAGCATCTCAACTCCTCTCTCTCTATTCTCTCTCACACACACACATTCTACAACCCCTCTCTCTCCCACATTTTTCTCTCTCACCCTTCCTTTTCCAAACATCTCTCAACCCTTCTCTTCTCCTTAACATCTTCTCTCTCACCCCTCTCTTCTCAACAATTCTCTCACCCTCTCTTTCTCCAATTCTCTCTCTCACTTTCTCTCAAATTCTCTCCACCCTCTCATCTCCCCTAACATTCTCTCTCAAACTCTCTTTCTCCAAACATCTCTTCTCTCTTCTTTCCCCAAACATTTTCTCTCACCCTCTCTTTCTCCCAAACATTCTCTCTAACCCTCCCTTTCTCCCAAACATTCTCTCTCACCCTCTCTTTCTCTCTCACACATTCTCTCTCACCCTCTCTTTCTCCCTTACATTCTCTCACCCTCTCTTTCTCCCTTACATTTCTCTCTAACCCTCTCTTTCTCTCCCTTACATTTCTCTCTTACCCTCGCTCTCTCCCAAACATTCTCTCTAACCCTCTCTTTCTCTCCCAAACATTCTCTCACACCCTCTCTTTCTCCCATTCTTACATTTCTCTCTCACCCTCCCTTTCTCTCCCAAACATTCTCTCTCACCCTCTCTTTCTCCCTTACATTTCTCTCTAACCCTCTCTTTCTCTCCCTCCAGTGTACCATCGACATGCCGGCCAGTCTCCAGGATATGTTTCGACCGCCTGTGCAGTGTGACATGTGCAGACAAGTGACTCATGTCGAACGTGTCCACTCTGTCACGTCTCAGCTGTTCGAGGAGAG